CTGGCACTCTGTGAGTAACGTATGAGTCACATTAGACAAAGGGGAGAGAATATAAGCTCCAAACAAGATTTTTCATATAATTTTGCTTTAACCTTTGAACTAAAAACATGGGTCAAGGTCACTGCACATCCATTACCCAAAGACACTCTGTGGGTGTAGTATGAGCCAGATTGGGCCAAGGAGAGAGAAGATATGCTCCAAACAATGATTTTTCATATAAATCTGCTATAACCTTGACCCTTGACCTAGAATCATGGTTCAAGGTCACTGCACACCTGTTACCTTAAGACACTCTCTTGGTGAAGTATGAGCCAGATTTGGTCAAGGAGAGAGAAGATATGCTCCGAACAAGGATTTTTAAAATAATTCTGCTATGACTTTGACCATTGACCTACAAACATGGTTCAAGGTCACTACAAACTCGTTACCCATGGCACTCTGTGGGTGAAATATGAGCCATATCTTACATGTTGAAATTATGTAAATACACTGTATCATATTTTTAAAAATGTAACTCGCATGTTGACATAAATAAGTCGCATGTTATCATAGATAAGTAGCATGTTATAATTATTATCTTGCAGGGGAAAATAAATTCATATCTTGCATGTCCACATAATCATCTCGCATGTTAACATAAGTATTTTGCATGTTAACATTAGTTACTTGCATGTTCTCATAAATAAGTTGCATGTCTACATAATTATCTCGCTTCTTTATATAAGTAAACCGTATCTTAACATTAGTGAACCATATCTTGTCATCATTATGTTGCATATTGCATTTATGATGTCAGTCTTAAACGTGGTTGATTTTACCCATATTAAAATCAGACTATCTTTAAAGATTTGTAAATTGCATGTCTACATAATATTGCATGTTGAAGTTATTTTCTTACATTTTGACATAATTTATCTTGCATGTAGGGAGCAGAAATATGCCACCATATCAAACCCTCCATTTAATTCTGATGTAAATTTCACAGCAGAAATATATGCAACTTCCTCTCGTTTTAGTATGTATTCTAGATGATGGCAGAAAGTTTAAGATAGGAGAGAATTTTCCTGCACGTGATCAATGTAACGTGTGCTTCTGTCGCTCAGACGGAAGCCTCGTTTGTACCAGATCTTGTGAAGAAGGTGAGTAGCATTTATTGAACCTTTGTTATCTGGTTGGGACCGCAGAATCAACGCCAATTAAATGTTTAAAAGCTTACATAGAGTGTTTCATCCAACATACATTGCGGGAATATGGTCTTTAGGTTTCTTTTTTTAAAAAATCTTTCTAAAGTTCCTTATCTACGGAAACGTATAACCGCCTCGTGTTGTTGTTTTAGAACGCGATGTTATGATATAAAAATGTTGTCAAATACAATTGCTTTAATGTTTGACGATATAATTATAACAACAATCTCTGATAAGTAATACTTTTCTGATTTGTTTTAGACGACTTATACACTTTGTTATATCCAAGTTGAATTCCCAAATGTCGCACATAAAATAATGTGTAAAAATTAAGCCGCTAAAATTTGAAATCGCAGACATTAGTGCGATATAGCATATATGAAGACTTAGTGTAGACGACTAGATTCAAACAAAGAGGAAATTCAGCAAAATGTGAATGACTTGTAACATCAGATTTATAGATATAACGTACTGCATTGCATTGATGTCTGATTTAAGTAAAATAATTAAAATTGTTATAGCACTAATTGCAGGCTCTTAGTGCATGTCTAGACAACGCCTTCCCCTTTTTTCTGAGTGTGTGCTTTTCTTAGGACTCGGGGCACTCTTTGAAAACTGTTGTTACGGGCCCGATTTTTCTTCTCCGAAATTGATTTTCAAAAAAAATATTATTTTTAAAAATAAAAATTTAAAATTTCAGAATAAACAAAAAGAAATTTGCAGTTTTTACAGTGTTATAATTCTTTTTGTATATGCTTTTTTTTAAATGTAATCAAAAAGCAACTTCATAAAATGTATATAGTTGTATTAATAATAAAATAAATCTGAATTTACTGATTCACGTCATGATTGGGGAATATAAAATTTTTGACAGCACTAACTTTTGAGAAAAAGAAAGAGGACAAAATGCAAATTATTTCATTCATTTTATCAATGTACACATAATTGTAAATTATAGAGTAAATTTTCAGTCTCTTTCTTATGATTATCAATTTTATTGGCGCATGACTAATTAAGACCCTGACATCCTTAGATCATTCGCTAGATTCCTTTATTATCTACCTTGTTTGAGGATATTTTGATACGCATACATGTATTTTTTTCCCAGTTCCTTGCCTTTGACTATAATATTTTTATATTAACACATATACAATGCATGTATGTATTTTTATCAACTGCTCTCATTATATGTAAGATCATATTTGTTCTATCCGATGGATCCCCCTCCTTCTTTTGTTTGTAAATCTTTTTACTCCCCCAAATGCCCAAATTGGACTGATAAAATCTTGTATCTTAAGCTTGTATAAATCTGATGTTGCAAGTCGTACGTTCGAATTTTGTTGAATTTTTCTCTTTGATTAAATCTAGTCGTCTTAACGAAGTCTTCATATATGTTATATTGCACTAATGTCTGCGATATCTAATTTTAGCGAATTAATCTTCACACATTATTTTATGTGCGACATTTAGGAATTCAACTTGGATAAATCAAAGCGTATAAGTCGTCTAAAACATATCAGAAAAGTAGCATTCATAAGAGATTGTTGTCATAATTATATCGCCCAACCTTATAATAATTGTATTTGACAACATTTTTATATCATAATATCGGGTTCTAAAACAACAACACGAGGCGGTTATACGTTTCTACGTAATTTGAACGACATGTAACATAAGATTTATACAAAATACAAGATTTTATCAGTCCAATTTGGGCCCTTGAAGGAGCAAAAAAGATTTACAAACAAAAGAAGGAGGAGGATCCAATTATAGAACATTCGTGATAATGAGAGCAATTAATAAAAATGTATGTATATACTCAGTATATAAATGTATTGGGTCAAAGGCAAAAAATTAAGTACATTATACTAGCAAAGTGATCTAAGGATGACAGGGTCCTCATTAGTCATGAGCCTATAAAATTGATTATCATAAGATAAAGACTGAGTATTTTTACATTTAATTTTACGAATATTTATGAGTTCAAGTCTTTGTACATTAAGATGAGGACATACAAGGAGAAAATGAATTTCATCCTTAATATAACATTATTGCACTGAATTGATGTCTGATTTAAATAAAATAATTCAAATAGTTATAGTATCCTTGCAGGCTCTTCCCTAAATAATAAATCTCATGAATGTTGCTTCAAAGGACAGTCACTATATTTGGTAATACGTGTACTATTCAAACTATGATAACGAAATCTTTAATCATGTTCTTAGCTTGGAGAACATATGCAAAAATATATGCATCAAATATTTTCGTTTGATGTGATGTCATGCATTGTTAAATATGACCTCAAACTATTAAAAATTCAAAATTAAAAGAGAAAGTTGTATATTTTCTATGATAATTCAATTGGAAAAAAATCGAGCGTACGTCTGCACATATTCTTATGTATTTTTTAACATGACGTGTAGCTCATTGATAAAATGAACGAAATGATTTGCATTTTGTCCTCTTTCTTTCTAAAGATAACACAGAAGCTCATTAGTTAGTGCTGTCACAGGCACAATTTTCACCCCAATCGTGCTTTGATTTATTTGATAAATTCAGATTTATGTTATAATTTATACAAACATATATTATGAAGTTGTTCTTTGAGTACATTTAAAAAGCAAATATATAAACAATATATAAACAATTATAACACTGTAAAAACTGCTTATTCATTTTTAATTAATTCTGCGAAAAAAAATCATTTAGACAGTGTTAATTATTAGATTTTTAAAAATTAAATCAATTTCGGAGAATGAAAATCAGGCCCGTAGCTACGGTTTTCAAAGAGTGGCTCGGGTCCTTAAAAAAGCACACACTCATCGATTTAATACAACAGTGATTATTAATAAATCTGATGTTACAAGACATTCTAATTTTGTTGAATTTTGCTCTTTGATTAAATCGAGTCGTCTAAGCGAATTTTTCATATATGTTATATTGCACTAATTTCTGCGATATTTAATTTTAGCGACATAATTTTAGTGCAACGTATAGGAATTCAACTTGGATATATCAAAGTGTAAAAGGCGTCTAAAATATATCAGAAAAGTATTATTCATCAGAGATTCTTGTCATAATTAAGTCGCCAAACCTTGAAGTACTTGTATTTGACAACATTTTTATATCATAATATCGTGTTCTAATACAACAACACGAGGCGGTTATACGTTTCCGTACGTTTCCGTACTTATCCCCCAAAAAATGAAGAAATATATCTTGCATGTTGTCATACATGTAAATATCATGTTTTTTAAAATGTAACTCGCATGTTGACATAAATAAGTCGCATATTACCATAGATAAGTAGAATGTTATAATTATTATCTTGCACGTAAAAATAAATATCTTGCATGTCTACAAATCATCTCGCATGTTAACATAAGTATTTTTCATGTTAACATTATTTACTTGCATGTTCTCATGCATAAGTTCCATGTCTACATAATTATCTTGCATCTTTATATAAGTAAACTGTAGCCTGACATTAGTAAACCATATCTTGTCATTAATATGCTGCATCTTGCATTTATGATGTCATTCTAACGTGGTTGATTTTACCCATATTAAAATCAGACTATCTTTAAAGATTTGTAAATTGCATGTCTACATAATATTGCATGTTAACATAATTTTCTTACATTTTGACATAATTTATCTTGCATGTAGGGAGCAGAAATATGCCACCATATCAAACCCTTCATTTAATTCTGATGTAAATTTCACAGCAGAAATATATGCAACTTCCTCTTGTTTTAGTATGTATTCTAGATGATGGCAGAAGGTTTAAGATAGGAGAGAATTTTCCTGCACGTGATCAATGTAACGTGTGCTTCTGTCGCTCAGACAGAAGCCTCGTTTGTACCATGAGATCTTGTGAAGAAGGTGAGTAGCATTTATTGAACCTTTGTTATCTGGTTGGGACCGCAGAATCAACGCCAATTAAATGTTTAAAAGCTTTCATACAGTGTTTCATCCAACATACATTGCGGGAATATGGTCTTTAGGTTTCTTTTTTTTTTTTAAATCTTTCTAAAGTTCCTTATCCCCCAAAAAATGAAGAAATATATCTTGCATGTTGTCATACATGTAAATATCATGTTTTTAAAAATGTAACTCGCATGTTGACATAAATAAGTCGCATATTACCATATATAAGTAGAATGTTATAATTATAATCTTGCACGTGAAAATAAATATCTTGCATGTCTACATATCATCTCGCATGTTAACATAAGCATTTTTCATGTTAACATTATTTACTTGCACGTTCTCATACATAAGTTCCATGTCTACATAATGATCTTGCATCTTTATATAAGTAAATTGTATCTTGACATTAGTAAACCATATCTTGTCATTACTATGTTGCATCTTGCATTTATGATGTCATTCTAACGTGGTTGATTTTACCCATATTAAAATCAGACTCCCTTTAAAGATTTGTAAATTGCATGTCAACATAATATTGCATGTTGAAGTTATTTTCTTACATTTTGACATAATTTATCTTGCATGTAGGGGGCAGAAATATGCCACCTTATCAAACCCTCCATTTAATCCTGCTGTAAATTCCACACCAGAAATTTTTGCAACTTCCACTTGTTTTAGTATGTATTGCAAATGATGGCAGAAAGATTAAGATTGGAGAGAATTTTCCTGCCGATGATGGATGTAACGTGTGCTCATGTCGTTTAGACGGAAGCATCGTTTGTACCATGAGATCTTGTGAAGAAAGTGAGTAGCATTTCCCTTACCAAAAATATTGCCTTCCTGCAAATATCTGCAGCAAACATTGCTGCAAGCTTGCGGCAACGTAGCAAGAACTCACGACAGTCTATACAAAGCCTTTTGTGTTTGCAGCAAGCTTGCAGCAAACATTTTACCATACAAACGAGGTTTGCTACAGGTCTGCAGCAAACACTGGATTTTCCAAATAAGGAAAGCTTGCGGCAAACATTGCTGCTAACTTGCAGCAAACAATATCCTTATGGTTTTGGCACATTCCTGTGTACAAGCAGCAAGTTCGCAGAAAGCCTTTGTCCTGACCTAAATCTGTTAACTTTAGAGATAATCCACCACGTTTATGAATATTTAAATTTAAGTGCATGAAATAGCTTTTTGTTATATGAACAGAACATTCAGAAATTTACATATAATTTTTAATTGAATATTACCGTAACAACAGTTAATAATTCATTTGAAAAAATGATTTGGGTCCATTAAACTAATACATTTAAGAAGTATACATATGTGATATTAAAATGAGGACTGAAATTCACAATAAATAGATTTAGATTTGACCTAGCAGTTACACCAGTTACTCAGACCTGTTTTTAAGAAACATTTTTTTCATATCAAAATAAAACAAAATCTTACTAATTAGATATCATGGATGCCAATTAAGAGCCATTCTCTGTAATGATTTGAAATTTTATATACGAGCTGTGGCACGCATAGTCTCAGAATTTCTCCAAACTCTCTATGATAAAAGTCATTGATACCCTAAACTGAAATCAGGATATATTACCATGGCAACATGTCTTAAAGTTCGAAAAATGGCAGTTTTTAACATGTTTAGAGCCCCATAGTTAACATTTGCGGCAAAGCAAACAACTGGCAATGACTGTTTCCAAAAGTTGAAGGTCAGATGTCTCAAATGCATGAAAAACATGTTTGGTAAATCAACTATTACATACGTTACTATGGTAACAAAGTATTCAAAAGTAAAAAAAATATTCATTGAATTTTATAAAGTCATACACGTAAAAATAAAAAGCAATTATAGGATGAAATGTTACCAAATAATAGAAAAAAGAGCCTTGAAACATATACCATGAACAAAATATGATATTTCATTTTGGTTGGCAATGGTTGCCAAGGTTTTTATACCACAGATAGCCTTCAAAGTAACACTCTGTATAATTAAATCTGATCCTATCTTTTAAAAAAAGCACATTTCCTCATAACTAATGATCAATTTTATAAGATGTCGGTGTGCTCCAAGTTTTCCCACTTGAAAAAATTCAGATTGGATTCTTTAAATAGAGCGTTGCTATGGAAATAAGCAGAAAATATATGCTTAAAAACCTGAAAAATATTTTCTTTCCTTGGATACGTACCCTTAAATGTAGATTCCCAAAACTTTTATGATTGATATTTATTAACAGCTAACTTGACTTTTAAGTTTGACTATCACCCAATCTCTAAGTGGATGCTAGAAGTTGGCACACAGGGTTTAATATTGATATAAAGTTCACAAAATCGAACATTTTCCCTTCTTGGTAACCATAGCAACAGTGTTGTTTTATTCATCAAATTTTATCAATATATGATATTCAACTTTTCTAACAGATAAGTACTATTCAAGCTGAGTCCTTTAATTTGTTTGTTGATTAAATGGCAATTTAATTCTTAATGCAGCGAAAAATAATTCACTTTTAAGCACTGGTACTTTGTTTCCATGGTAACACTGCAAAGTAGCAATTATTCCCAATTTTTCTTATGGTTTTGGTATTGCAGGGTCCTAAGGATGCATATTTACCAGTCTTGAATTTTCATGTTTTTCCTCAAGACAGTAGGATTAACCCAATCTTAGTTACTGGTTTTGCATGGTTACACTGTGTTACCATGGCAACCATAAAAGTTATTTATAGAATAATATTGCTTATACTTATATACTTAAGGTCAAACATTTTCATTGTTTTTCTTAAGTCGTTGATTGAGTTTGAGCATGTAACACCTACCATTAGTGAATACGGAGTGTTTTTCAGCATATTTCAGCATTTTAAATGTATTCCAAAAGTACCCTTGGTTACCACTTCCTTGCAGATATAATCTAAACAGTTTCTTTACAGTATAAGTGACATCAAGGTGTCATGTTTTTGTGAGAATGGTTTGTTTGCTTTTTCTAGTTTTTATAAAGCCACAGTCAAGATATAAAGCGGCTGAAAATCTCGATTTTTCAAACTTTTCCGGCTGTTGCCATAGCAACCGAGACACATAGCAACGAAATTTTGTTTGATATTTGTTTCTGGTGTCAAGTACTAAGCATGGGTGAAGTTTCATCAAAATCGGTGACCATGCGTGGCAACGAAGTTTAAGTGGTTACAGAGAATGGCTATTAAAACCTACATCCAGAGATTTGCACTTTTAATCACTCAAAATCGTATATATTCCTAACAAAATACTGAGACATGTACAACGTCTTTTCAAACAATTCAAAAGGGCCAGTTCTGTGTTGACCCCAGTACAATCTGCATTTCATTGGCTGATTTGACTTTTTTAGCTCACCTGAGCCGAAGGCTGAAGTGAGCTTTTCTGATCGCATTTTGTCCGTCGTCCGTCCGTCCGTCTGTAAACTTTTCACATTTTCGACTTCTTCTCAAGAACCACTGGGCCAATTTTGACCAAACTTTGTACAAAGCATCCTTGGGTGAAGGGGAATTTAAATTGTTAAAATGAAGGCCGAGGCCCTCACAAGGGGACATAATCAAGAAAAGACAAAAATAGGGTGGGGTCATAAAGCACTGGGCCAGAAAAAGCTGAAACTTATATGGAAGCATCCTAGGGTAGTGTAGATTTTAAATTGTTCAAATCATAAACCCCACGGGAAGGGCAGGGCAGAAATGGGAAATCAAAGTTTTACATAGAAATATTAAGGAAAATTTTTTTTTAAATCTTTTCAAAAACCCCTGGGCCAGAAAAGCTGAAACCTATGTGTAAGCATCCAGGGGTAGTGTAGATTCTAATTTTTTTCAAATCATGACCCCCTGGGGGTAGGGTGGGGCCACAATGGGGAATCAAGGTTTTACATAGAAATATATAGGAAAAATCTTTAAAATTTTTCTGCTCAAGAACCACTAGGCCAGAAAAGCTGAAACTTATGTGGAAGCATCCTGGGGTAGTGTAGATTCATTCTTTATTGTTCAAATCATGACCCCGGGGGCTGGGCGGGGCCACAATGGGTAATCAAAGTTTTACATAGAAATATATAGGAAAAATCTTTAAAAATTTTCTTCTCAAGAACCACTGGGCCAGAAAAGCTGAAACCTATGTGGAAGCATCCTGGGTTAGACTGAATTTTTCAAATTAAGTCCCCTGGGGGTAGGGTGGGGTCACAATATGTATTACAAGGGGGAAATCTAAGAAAGAACAGCATGGTCAAAGCTTCTCAGGTGAGCAATGTGACCCATGGGCCTCTTGTAACTGTTCTTGCTAACTTGCTGCGAACATTTTATTGGCGTTTATGTTTCTTGCAATGGTCCTGCAAATATGTTGGGTCGCTGCGTATTTGCAGCAAGCTTGCAGCAGTTGCTGCAATGTAGCTAGCGGCATTCATCTGCGAACAAGAAAATTTTCTAAATTTTCTTCCTGCGAACAATTTTGTTTGCTGCAAGCTTGCAGCAGACTTGCTGCAGGCCTGCAGCAAACATATCAGTTTTGTAAGGGTTATTGAACCTTTGTTAGCTTGTTGGGACCGCAAAATCAACGCCAATTAAAAGTTTAAAAACTTTTTTTTTATAATGCTGTATTTTTTAATATTTTCATACTTACAAAAGAAACGAAATACACACACAAACACACCCTCACACTCCACACGCACTCAGAATGTGCACCTTTCCCAAAATACCAGCTTTCATAATTACACCTTAAGTGATAATTGAAATTATGTATGACAAATCAAATCAAACATTGCCCATTTACTTTACATTTTAGTTCTACAATGAAAATTGCTCCCACAATATTTTTTCAATTTTCGGGTTATACTTAAAAATATTAAAAGCTTCTGTAAATTTAGGTATGGTACATTGAGT